CGTGCGGAGCAGCCACTACACTACTCAGCAATGGTAGAAAATGGTTTATTGGTTTATTAAAAAGAAATAATCGATTGTAGAAATAGGATAAGGATGGTACCTTTGGGAGAGTGCATGAAAAGTTGGAAGATAGACGAAGAAGACTTGGGTGACTAGTGTGTAGTGCGTCCCTTTAGGGAGATGTGGCCAAGTAACAAAGCGCTTGAAGAAACGGCAAAATTGTCGCAAATGAAGGCATTAGCACCACGATGCTCTCTCACTCACTTAAGACGACGGGACGGAACTCCAAAAGCACAGCAATTTTCCGCCCAATGCCCTGTCACATGGGGCAGCCATGCAGCAGCGTTTAGCATCGAATGAACCACACTATAGACATGAGGAAAATCAGGGAAAGATTCGGAGGGGGAGTTTGAAATGGAACTGGTGGGTCTCAAAAGCGCAGCATGAACAGCAAACTCGAACTAAAAAGTAAAGTAAGAGGGTGTAAGCAATGATAGGCAGCTATTTCCTGCTTACGGGTGGTCGAACTGTCCGCCACCGAGTCCGACTATCGAATGGTCCCAAACTCAGCCAAAATGGTCACTAAATTCGATTTTCCGTTCACGTACATATACTACGGTCATGTATCCTTCCAATCATCCTCACCTACCTTTACTGAGATTGGTGTCCCGATTGAGAGGGNCAGGCGCAACGAACCTTTTATGAAACTCATTTTCATTAATACTTATAGAACTTGAAGGGTTTAGATGGACGCATGACGTATCGGGAAGATTAGATTCAGAGTGGTGTAATACGTTGTGTGGGATTGGAACCCCAATAAAGATCCTTTCTCCACGAATAATTGGTATATACTGGCTTATGGACGATGAAGATGGGAGTGGTCTGTTCGCGAAATTACTTTGATAGCATTGCTATGGTACCGAATCGTGAACGCCGAGTATGTACGCCCGAACCACCTTAGGCTCTGGTGGGGTGTCAAAGACCCACGCTTTCATCCAATCGGATGATTTGGAGTAGTGTTAACTCTTTGAACATTCCCAAGCTGACAGATACGTGCTTGAAAGCAGTTCAAGCACACAATTTGGTGGGCAATTATGGAGATGAATGAGATCCAAAAGAGACATACTAAAGAGCATGAGACCGGTGAATCCAGAATCCAGGGTTAAATATTCGATTCTTCAAAGAGGTGTTGGTGATTTAACCCGGTCAATCACAGAATTCTAATGATTTGTATTTTATGAAGTCTTCTTTCGGAAGAAAGTCGCCTTTCCGCGTCCTTCTTACTTAGTAAAAAGTGCTATTCAGAGAGTTAGAAACTCTAAGTTGCATTCTCGGTTGCATTA